GGGGGGTAATCAACGTTTTAAAAAAATAAAATCAACCAAGAAATTTGTTTCGGAATGGACATAAAAGATGTTGAGCTAAAACACTCCAAAAAAAAAAAATATGTATACGAATATAATTTGGTCACAAATGCCAAAGTGGAGGGGAAAAAACATGACGATTTCTTCGATTTCAATATTTTGACGAGCGTCTGATTTCACAGCGATGCCTCACACATGTCTAGTTGCTGTACAAACTATTTATTGGACATCTGAGAGCGTGGCATTGTTCGAAATTATTTGCTCAAAAAGAAGACGCCTCCGGGTACTGGCTACTGTACTTATGAATTGTTTTTATTTGAAGGTTTTTATTTTTGTCATGTTATTCACAAGTAGAACATACTACTATGGATGTCGTCCGATTTCACAAAGACATTGGAGGGTTACGAGGGTTGTTATACAATTGGCTGTAAATGTGACAGTGCATTAATAGTAACAGTGCGGCACCTTTTTGTGCTAGCGCACGGTCACTTTTGAATGGCCCTTATTCTCTTTAAAAAAAGAATAAATACGAGACTTTATTTTCAGCATCTCTTTTTCCAAAACTTTGTCTCTTTTCATTGGTACGTGCACTGCCTCTTTGTAATAATAAAAAAGTAAACTAGAATACATAATGATACCTAGATATTATCTATTACACACGTTTGCATTTCCTGTTCAGGAACATTATTCATGAGCGTCACATTTTGTTCACTTTGTAAATGTATTGTTATTGTCTGTACATATTTGTAGAAAAAACAAAAATGCCGGGAAAATGAAGAAAAAAATAAAACTGTTGGTTCCTGTCTTAAATTGTTTTCTTCTTTCATATTCAAATACATGTATTACTCCTCTGTCGTCATTCATGGGTTAAGAATCCCCCCCCCCAACAAACAAAGTACACCTCCCTGAAAAAACAACAACAACCACATCCCCACCCCCAACCCTTAAAAAACCCACAACCAATCCCCCCTCCCAGAAAGAACAACAACAACAACAACAACAACAATAACAACAACAACAACAACAGCAGCAGCAACAACAACAACAATAACAGCAACAACAACAACAACTGTCAGGCAGTTTGCTGTCAACGGTGAGTAATATAGACATAATATCAATGTTGAATACAAGTAAAAATACACCCACTGTCACAATGAAATATTATACTGTTATACTGAATAGCTAGGAGACAAATGATAACGTTTCGATCTTTGTCTCCCTCTGACGCGACTTCCGTGTTTGATTGATGGCTTAAAAGCGTTGATTTTAATTTTAAAGGTTTTTGGGGGGCTGTTTTGATGTTTTTGTTTGTTTCAAGTCCAAATGACATACACACGTTTGGCGCATATATGATATGGAAGTAGTTAATGTGATGGGGTGGAGATCATGATGATGCTGATGAATCAGAATTCTGACTTTACTTCATGAACCAATGCGTTAACTTAATAATGATTTCTTTTCTGCCAAGCTAATAAGTGGGTAGGGGACTGGAGTATAGAGAAGCAAATGATTTGGAAGCGTGTGCGTGTGTGTGTGTGTGTGTGTATGTGTGTGTGTGTGTGTGTGTGTGTGTGTGT